TAGGCCCAAGACTGAACTTTACGAAAGGGCCGAGACAGTGATGAGTCCATGTCAGAACTGAGAAGTCAGAAGTTTCTTGACCCAAAAGAAAACGAGTGGGAGAGAGAACTAAGAATATGGTACCGGCACACCTTTCGAATATTTCGCCCTACCTAAACACATTATACTTTACTACCATAATGTTTGCTCCGACAAAAATAAAGGAATTTTTCTTCAAACTTTTTCTGTTTTGCTTCAATTTTTGAGAAAAAAAAAAGTAGACAAGAAATGACATACATTTTATAGCTTTGATTTAAAGAAAAGAAAAAAACATTTTTCGGCTTTTGATTAGCAGAAAACGGGTGGGCACAAAAAAGACTTTAAAATTACGAGATTTATATTTGGACATCTTACAATTTTGTACATTTCATTAGTTTTATTATTATTTTTATCATATCACATACAGCTTATTATATTTTTGTCTTATCTTTTCTTCTCATAGGTATTCAAGAGGTGTAAAAAAAATAGTTAAAATTATTTGTTATAAATACGAGGAAACCAACCTATAACGGAATTAATAAAATTTAACTGATGTCTTGTTTATACTTTTTTTTTATTATTATAATTGGACAAATTCAACCCACAATTTCAAGCACATAATGTAAAATTCATTATAAATAATATGTTTGGAAAATTTATAGTTTGAAATATTATTTAAAGAGAAGGTAATCTATATATCGATAATGTACAAATTATTTCTGTGATCTAAAAAAATCTCTTGTATAATAAATTTATTGTCATAAAAAACTAATTAAACATCATACATATTATGATTAGCAGTTGATATTAATTTTTTTTTACATTATCGTACATAATTATTAAACTAATATATGATTCTAGGTTTCAAATGAATGAAAATTAAAGATTTTTTTTTCCAACCGTAATATATACTCCAACTAGGCATGGCAACGGGGCAAGGCGGGGCGGGTTTTATGTTCCCCGCCCTCGTCCCCGCAAATTTAAATCGCCCCTGCTCCCGTCCTCGATACTCACTGGGATAAAATTTGAGTCCCCATTCCCGCTCCTGGCGGGGTTCGGGTTTCCCTGCCCCGCCCCCGCCCTCGCTCTTATTTTTTTTTCTTTTTTTTTATAAATAAATATGAACAATTTTTAAAAAATAAAAAAAAGTAAAATAATATAAATTTTACATATAAATATTTACAATTTTGGTTTATATATATAAATAATTTTTTAATTATATTATTAAACAGGGCGGGGTGAGAGCGGGTATGGAGACGGGGACGGGGTGGATATTAACATCCCTGCCTCCGCCCCTGCCCCCGATTTTATCAATCGGGAAAAACTCGAACCCGAACCCAAATCTAGTAAACACAGGTTTTCCCCATCCAAATCAAGGCGGGTTCAGGCGATACCGATGGAGCGGGTTAGATTTCCATGCCTAACTCCAACCCAAACAAATATATATTATGTGTCCAAAAGAAATAGAATAGATTTCTGTTTAAGATTGATTCCATTTAATTAATAACTCTAGATTTAAGTATTACGTATATCATTGTGTTATGATAGAAATTTATTGCTGGAACGAGATTTCCACCTAATTTTTTTTTTCCATATAATGACATATTTACAATGTGATACAATATATGTTATTTCAAACTATTTTTACTTATATTATAAATATAATAAATTTATGTTAATATATTATTAAAAAATATAAATATAAATTATAATAACACATAATAAATATTATTGAATCTCATTCAAAATCAACACTAATATTGTATATAATTATATATCAGATAAACTTATGTCTTTATATATTATATTTATATTAATACTTAATATGTTACTATATATAATATTTGATCGATATAAGATATATTGTTTATATGAAAAAAAATCTCTGAAACTAATTTTTCAGTGTAACATGATTTATCTGAGAGGAAAATAAATATTAAAAACTTGATTTTGATTGTAACAAAGATATAATAAACTATGGAATAAGCAAGCAAGTGTTGGAAGACGTGGATAAATAAATTAAATATGTTTGAGAATATGGTGCGAGGAGAATAATAGAAAAAATAGTGAAGATATGATAAATCTACGAAACGAATAAGTGGGTTTTCAATAAGCAGGTATTGGGGAACTAGCTGATAACATATGGTTGGTTCGTGGATAAGATGGAAACATGAAAGCCATAGATTTGACTAAACATTTTGAAATTTTAACACGCGTGTAGCAGCTAGGTCAAGAATATCAGGTGGAATTTTATAAACGTTGAGGCCACGTTTAAGTCATCTTTATTTAGTGCTCATGGAATATCTTGAGCTTTGTCAACCACTTTTGGAAATGGAGTAATAGCTGTCTCTTTCTTTTCTTAATTCAGTGCTTCTGCTTCAAGGGTCTCAAAGAGAAAGATTCACACTTATACCCTATTCTATTATCATCTTAATTAACTTATACATCTCATAGGAAAATAAATTGAAGTTAGCGATATATATATATATGAGATAGTCTATGTACGAGATAGATTTCAGTTTACGACACATTCAATTGCGTGAATTTAAAGGAGAAGAAACTAAAGATGTTTAATTTGTATCTAATTATTTTATTCAAAAGAAACGTTGAGGATAAAGGAAAACTCACCATTCATTTTTTACATCTTGGAAAAGGGAATAATTTCAGCGAATAAATCAAACGTAAGTTAACAAAGGTTAAAAGACTATAATATGTTTAAGTCAACGCATTCAAATTCCATATGCTCTCAGTCAAAAAATTAAAAATAATAATCCATATACTCTATCTCAAAGTGAGAACTTTGAATTTTTCAATGATCCATAAGAAGGGTAAAGGCACAAATGTTCTAATGTGCTGTCATAAACCCTTTTCAAAGTCTTTATAGTTCCTTCTTGACAATAAATATATGCGAGACAAGGAGAGGGAGACACAAGGAAGTCACCCGAAAGGAATATAAGCAAAAACGTAATCTAAACATAATTACACAAGGGTAACAATCACCAAAGGAATATCAAATTCAAAGGAATGCGTTTATAAGAATTTATTTACCTTTTTATACCGTTAATATTTATCTAAGTATTTGAAAAAATTATAAAAATAGTTTATAAGTATACCATGGTGGTCTCCCGTCGAGTGACTCGGAAGGTGTCTCAACAAAATGCCTATGTAATATAAAATCTTCGCACCTCATGCTCTAATCTGGAGGGTTATGTATCGTGATGATCTTCCAAGGATCGACTGGAATCACATCATCAAAATGTCAATTCAAAGAGAATATAGATCGTACTAGTCTCCTTATGCCTGACCCGAAGCGCATCATCAAAATGTCAATCCAACAAGAACATAGGCCATAATAGTCTCTTTCTGATTGATCCAAAATGGATCATCAAAATGTTGATCCAACGAGGACATAGACCATAGTAGTCTCCTTTCAACTGACCCTAAGTGCATCATCAAAATGCTAATGCAACGAGAGCGTAGACCATAGTAGTTTCCTTCCAATCGATTCAAAGTGCATAATAAAAATATTAATCTAGTAAGAGCATCGACTATGCGCTTTAGTGTTCGAACATGGATTGTCATGTACCAAGGTGATCTCTCAAGTGATCACTAGGAGGTTCGGCCAATAGGATGATCGTACCTTTCCTCAAACAGTTAGTTGCTTAACATCAACACAAATGGACATGTAGACATAATCAATCTCTTTTGTGTCGATAAGTCTCCTATGCACGTAGCTAGGCTCAGGTGTTGGGCGATCTACTTCCCAATTGTAACAAATTGTAATAAGATCCCACAATTCTTAGAATGACCAAAATAATAATCATAAATGTTGAAATCATAAGCCTATTAATGATGATAATGATAATAATAATAATAATTATTATAATATGGTGCAATCTACAGAATCATAACGATAATTGTGAGATTTATGTCTATTATGTCATACCTATATATAGAGGGTTATTAGGTCTAGAGGAGATTAGGTTACATTTTATCGAATGTTCTAGGATTGCTACTAGTATCTTTTAGCATTGTATCGCTAAAGATTATTTCAGAATGGTTCCTGGCACTGGAACAATAAGTTATTTAATCTAGTGGAGATTTCTGGAAATAACTTATAATATTTCTTTCGTTATAGAAATAATTTATATAATAAATTCTTATTCATTTAATTAAGTTGTTTTATCAAACACATCATAAATCTTAGGTGTGTGATTGGTTAATGTTTTGATTGTAAGTCTGCTAATATCATTAAAATCACCGTGATTGAGGTATTATCCACTTTGGTTTTAGTGTTTGTTGGATCGTCGTAATTTTATCCTTAAAAAGATGCTTTAAGGATTAAGAGAGGAGGGTATTTTTAAACTATCATTGATCTTAACTTCTAAGCGAAGTGAGACTTATAAGTATACTAGAATAAATCCAAATATTTTGACTGTAAATCCCTGCATCCTTAGAGTCCTTGTGTTTGAGATATTGTCCTATTTGACACTTGTTGGATCCTCATAATTTTATTTTAATATATCTAAAGGTCATACATTACTTAAGAATTAAGCATCAAAATAGTTTATAAACTTTCATTCTTAACACATCGAACACTTTTTTCGATAACAAAATCATGATAGCTTAATAAGTATCAAAATAATTTCAACTAATTCTAATATGTTTCAAAGTCGCACAATATCTAGGAGTCGAGACTATTTAGGATAATATATTTCTATTAAACATTTTTATATTTTTACCTTTTGCTCCGATGGCGAAACTAATAAGTCAGATATAAACATTTTAATATAAAAATTGTTACTTTAGTTACATCTTTTAATTCTACCACAGGTGAAACAAACAAATCTACGGTGTTTCGAGTAAGTTCCAAGGTAAACCAAAAAAAAAAAACTGAAACTAGTTTTTAAATATGATTCGCAAAATATGAACTTAACGAAATTAAACCTTTGTGTGCACAATTATGTGGATCGCAAAGAACATAAACGAAATGCAACGTCATTCCATTTTTCCAATTGGAGGCATCCTTAGGCTTTCCCAATTAGAGATTCAGATCTGAGAGTACCCCAGACAAACTAGTTTCAGGAAAATAATCATAAAATAAAGAGGTAGTAACTAGTAAGAGTTGAGTGGGAGAAGATTAAGATTCGCAGTAATAGAATAATGTTTAGAACAAGGACAGATTTACACGGCAACCACCGTCTTAATTGAACTCCTATGCCCCAACTACAAAAAAAGCCCCATTGTTCACGTTGAGTCGAATATGTTATCCTGCATCGCGGTCTGAATGGAGTGACGGTGCTCCCCCTCGTACGTCACAATCAACATCGTGGGATCGTCCGAAGCACGCTCCACGTGTTTCCTCGCCGGACACCCTCTCACCGTACTGCACTTATAATACCCCCTAACACAAATATAAAAAAAAAACGAAGAAACGTGGTGAGTTAAAACTTAAAAGTTAAAAAGTAAAAGCCTTTGACCAAAGTCAACGTCCAAAATGACCCACCTCGGGTACGGTGATCCCTTGATCGGCTTCTGCCCGTACTTCCTCCACGAGTACTCGTCCGCTGGAATATCCGCGATCTTCGAACTAATCGCCGCCACTCTTATCGTCTTCTTCACGCGATTCTTCCTGAACCCAATCAAAGCAAAATAACATTATTAAGGTGTCACTATCAGACTCTCTCCATTGAATGCCTTCATATATCATATATGTACCTTCTCTTGACGCAGTGGCACTTGTTGGAGGCCGAGAGGTCGTCCGAGTGGTCGTGGCACCTCTTCTTGGTGGGCGCCGCGGAGGAGAGAGGTGGTTTTCCGGCGGAGGGCGGGGTGCGGAAGAGGGAGGATCCTAGTTTGGCGTCGGAGATGCTGGAGGAGTTGGAGGAGACGCTCAAGGTTTCTTTCGAGAATTCCAGTTCCAGGGAGTGGGACTTGGAGGAAGAGGGGAAGATGTTAGGTTTGGTAAAATCCAGAGTTAAACTCTGAGGCGGCGGGGCAGGGAGAGGTGCGCGGCGGAAACGGGCGTGGCCGGTGCGTTTGAGAAGGGAGATGAGTTTTTTGAAGTTGGAAACGGTTACGTCGGTGAGGTCAGTGTGGAGGTGAGAGGGTTGGTGGGAGAGGAGACCGATGAGGTCTTCCATTCCCTTGAGGCCCTCCGATGCTGCCTCTTGAATTGCTTTCTGCTCCTCCATTTTGGGGAACCCCATTAACTCCACCGCCATTTTCACTCACAAACGCTACTAATTACAATGCCACGCCCATGGGAACCAGGAAGAATGAAGATGGAGGGGAACGACAACTTATATAGAGGGTCACCGGATGACCGGGTAACATACTTACTGTGTTGCATTTCACTCCACCCATTTTCTTTTTCTTTTTCTTTTTCCTACCTAACGTAACGGGGAAATTAAATATCTCTTACGTCTATTACACTAGTAATATTTACCAACTAATCTACTTATAACATGTTTTTCTTCCACTTCTACCGTTGACATTATTCATTCATCTTTTCTCAATTTTTTAAATGATCCTTAATTTTTCCACCATGGGATGGGACCATTCTACCGCCGCCAACCAATCAGTTTTTTTTTTTTTTTTCCTGTAAATGTGAAAACTTTACTTAATTTAACTAATTCTTGTAACAAATTCTAATATTAACTTAATTTTGATTGGTGAGATTTACATCATATTACAAAAATAATTTCTACAATCTAAATCAAACCAAAACGATCAACAATAAATTTCTACAAAAAAAAAATAACATTTAAATATAAATAAAAAAATATAAAATTTAAGTAGTCTAATATTTGAAAGTAAAGTAATCTAACATAATCAAATAAAATAGTGAATATTAATCGGATAAGATAATGTTAGTGAGTAGGAAGAGTGGTTGAGTGGTCAGTGGATATGGCATGTGACACTATGTATGATAAGTGTCTGACAGAAAAAGTTGTATAACTTATGTTAGTGCAACACAAAATATGATAAATAAGTTTATACATCACAATATCGAGTAAGTTATATTAATATGTTACTTGTTCTTATCGGAAATCTGCCGTAGAGCTGATCCGCCAGGTAAGATCGGTGAGCCTCCTTCACTGGTACGTTTGTGTTCCAAGATGGGGGTGGTACCTGTAAAAGAGATCCGATGCCAAAGTTAGTGTTTGTGGGAATATGAATCTCGTATAAGTAATGCACGTACCTTAGTGTGAATTAGGGTTGCTTTGGGCCTTGGGCCTGAGATAAGATGTAATATGATTAGATAACGGATCTCGTCTGGGGCGAGATCCTCGGGAATCGGTTATGATTCACTTAAATGCCGAGCTGATGCCATGCGGAGCGAGTCCGAGGTCGACTTGCGTTGTGGTGCCGAGCTCAGTGCTCGGTTACGCAGTACGGATATTACACTAGCCCCCCGAGCTCTAAAGACCGTAGGTCGAGGAGTTAAGACCGAGCTCGCTGGGGGGAGGTGACCTCTCGCGTACGTTTGCTCGTTGTGGTGCCATGTGTCGCGTCTGTTCATTTCCCAGGAACGTACAAGTGGCACGTTTATGGGAGATGACGATTATGTAATGATGGTCTTGCAATTAATTGTGTTGTCAAGCGTGTCCCTTGACCGACACGTGGCGTGGCGGTTTTGAAATGTGGGAAGGAGTCCCTTTTCTTTTTCTTTCCCGTGTCTCTTCCCATTCACACCACTTTCTTCTACTTTTTGGCTTCTTGGGTACGGTAGCCCTCTATGCCTTCTCGTTCCTGGCTTTCTCGCTTTCGTCTTCGTTTTTATAGTCTTTCTTCAAGTCTTCTTGATGGTTGGTGGTCGTGGCGTCGGTTCTTCTAAGCCTGCCAGGGACAAGGCGCGTGGCAAGGTGGTGGCTACCGGGAAGGGTGCCACCGAGAGGAAAGACCCGCCCCCGCCTAAGGACCTGGAGCCGGGTGTTCCTGGTTACGACTGGGTCAAGCGCGAGATGGGGGGCATCCAAAGTGTGTTCAGGTCGCGCCTGGAGGTTGATGCGGTTTGGGAGACGCACCGGATTTGCTACCCCACCCTTTCCCGGATGATTCGGCTCGAGCCCTGTCCGGCTGGTGAGGGTGTGTTCATGGGGAAGTCAACTGATCCCCCCCACTTTTATGTTTATCAGAGTTTCTTCAGGGACCTAGGCGTTTGTCTTCCCTTCACTCAGTTTGAGTGTGATTTCTTGAACTACATCAACGCGGCCCCTTGCCAGCTGCACCCCAATAGCTGGGGTTTTTTGAGGGCGTTTCAGGTCCTGTGTGCGGTCCTAGGGCTGGAGTTGTCCCTTCGCGTATTCCTTCATTTCTACCAGCTGAAGCTGGGCGTTCCGCCGTATGGCATTCTTTCTTTGAACGGGAGTAAAGAAGGGGGTTTATTCACTCTTTACTCCCAATCTTATAAGAATTTCAAATCCGAGTTTTTCCGGGTAGTCCTTGTGGACATCGACCCTTTGGAGGATGGGGATTTCTACTTTGGTGGATACCGAAGTTCCCCTTTTACTTGTGCCCTAAACCGTCTAGGTTTCACGGGGTGAACCCTTTGGAGTTGACGGCTTCGGAGGCTGCCGTCGTTAAGAATCTCTCAGCCTTGCCTCGCCCGTTGGATTATAGGTCGATCTTGTCGCTTGCGAACTCGGCGCACAGGGAGAGGGTCCTAGAGGGTGAGTATTTTGTATCTTGGTATTTTGTTGAGGTTTGTGTAATTCTTTTTTTCTGATGTGCCTTTCTTTCTGTTTGTAGGCCTTATAGAAAAAGACTTGTGGCTTGAGCTGAAACCCTACTTTAACGTGACCAAGCTCAGGGTTTTCGAGCCTCCGGAGGAGGAGGTTTCCCCTCTGAAAATCAACCAAAAACGAAGGGGGGGTGGGAGAGAGGGCGGGGGGACCTCTGCCCCTCATGAGATAGGGGAGGTGGCCTCTGAGGTTATTGAAACTGGGGAGGTGGACCTTGCTGGGATTCCGCCGCCGGAGGGGGTCGATCGTGTGGCTGCTGAAGAGGTGGCATCGGCTGTCAACCCAGCAAGGCGCCGGCTCAAGCTATTGAGCGGGTTGCCGTGGTGAGTATTTTTCTTCTCTTAGTCTTGTCTCTATTTTTTGGCGTTTTGACTTGAGGCTATTTTCTATAGGTAGGGGATGCTGCCGAGGAAGTGGTCCTTGTTGTCGGGTGGGCCATCTCGGTCGCCGAGGAAGTGATCCGGGGTGCAGTACCTGCTGCTCTGGTTGGTGAGGTGAGACGTTGGCCCTTCTGTGGTATTTGGCGTTTTACCCTTCTGGTTACTTTTGTTCTTAGGAGAGTGTCCTTGCTTTTTGCAGGCGGGGAGCGACACTGGGGTATCTGCGCCTACTTCTGCCGAGGTCCGTAGGGAGGGGTCGAGCTCCGGGCTCCCTACCCCTGGTCCGGTTCCGAAGCTGAAGCGGCCGTACCTTACGTATCACTATGCGCAAGAGGGCGCGCCCATGTGGCTGGAGCACTTGAGTGCGTCAGAGGAGGTCGACTCTCTGTGGAGAGCCGCGGTGACTCCGGGGAAGTTTTTCCCGAAGGGGTCATTGAGCACGGCTGATCAGGCGATGATCGAGTCGGCCGGGCCAATGGGAAGTTTTGATGCCGCCCAGATCTTCCTTCAGCGAGGAACGACCATTGTGGATTACTGGAAACACAAGTGGTCGAGGCAGCAGGAGGACATGGCGAAGTTGAGGAGCCTTATTCAGCCTCTGAAGGATGAGAATAAAGTCCTGAAGGAGGAGAACGGGGTTCTGACCGCCGCCCTTGGTGAAGCGAAGATGCAGGGGGCCGAGCTCCAGACGGCGAGGGGGGGCCTCGCCAAGGCCCAGAAGTCCTTGGAGATCGCCCTTCGCTCCAACGAAGAGTATGCTTCTCGGGTGGGTGAGTTGCAGGGGCTGGTTACCTCGACCCGGGGCGAGGTGATGTCTTCTCGGGAACAGGTTCTCTCTCTGGAAGATGAAGTCGCATTTTTGAAGGGCGAGCTGGTGTCGGTGACCGAGGAGCGTCTCCGCGATGAGGCCATTATTGGTAGCAAAGAGCAGGAGATTGCTGCCCAGAGAGTAGATCTTTCGTCGCTGGAGGCCGAGAAGGCGGCGTTGCAGAGGAGACTTGAGGATGTTGAGCGCTCCATCGTGGTGGAGCATAAGAGGGGCTTCCTCAAGGCTGCTCGTCAGGCCAGGCTTCTTGCGCCAGGGTTTGACTTCTCCGGCATGCATGTGGAGAAGGTCGTTCGCTTTGGGAAGCTGGTCAAGGAGGACGACGTTGAGGATAGCTCCAGCGATAATGTCTCTGTGTAGGCCAATTTTGTAATCGTAATTTATTTCTGTTTTGGATTCAAGTGTTGAATCCTGAGAACTTTGCTTGTATATATATATGTGTATATATTTTTTACGTGAAGGTTTAAATTTTGCCGTAATAAAACCGAGGTTCGAACTCGACTTTAGCTTTTCGTGATGGTTCAAACTGGACCGTAGATTGAGGGTTCAAATTTGACCTTAATCCTGCCGAGGTTCGAATTTGACCTTGGACTTGGAGTGATACATTTCATTAAGGTTCGAACTTGACCCCAGATAAGTGGGCGAATTCGACCTTAAGTTTACGTGGAGGTTCAAACTTGACCTTAATGAACCGAGATTTGAATTCGACCTTAAATTTACGTGAAGGTTCAAACTTGACCTTAAGTTTTTGTGAAGGTTACCGAGGTTCGAACTCGACCTTAACTTTACGTGAAGGTTCAAACTTGACCTTAAACTTTTGTGAAGGTTCAAACTTGACCTTAAGTTTTTGTGAAGGTTACCGAGGTTCGAACTCGACCTTAACTTTACGTGAAGGTTCAAACTTGACCTTAAACTTTTGTGAAGGTTCACACTTGACCTTAGCAAACCGAGATTCGAAAAACTTCACCTTTTATTTTCGTGAAGGTTCACACTTGACCTTAGCAAACCGAGATTCGAATTCGACCTCTATTTGAGGTTAAACGTAAAATTATGCGAAAAGGATGTGAGTTGGACGAGATGAGTCATTTTATTGATTATGTAAATGTGCCTCATTAAAAACCCTCTCAGCCAAAACCCATCTTTCTGTTTTTTGGGATAAAAGACTGAGGCGGGAAAAGAGTGCACGACTCATTCATACAAAGTTCAACTAAAATAAAACTTGAGATGCGTAGCATTCCAAATTTGCGGTATGGGTTTGCCGCTGAGTTCCTCCAGTCTATATGCTCCATTTTTCAAGTCTTCTGCAACTCGGAAGGGGCCACCCCAAGTA